GGTGTTGACCCAGTGTGGAAAATGGGGTCACCGCTCCTGGTGTGAACGGGACCTTTTCTAGGCTATTTTCCCCCACCCCATTGTTTTCACCTGCAGATCCTGCCAGTAACACTTCCTGTATTAGGTTGAGAACACTTACACATGGAGATCCTACCAGTAACACGTCCTGTATTAGGTTGAGAACCCTTACACATGGAGATCCTACCAGTAACACGTCCTGTATTAGGTTGAGAACCCTTACACATGGAGATCCTACCAGTAACACGTCCTGTATTAGGTTGAGAACCCTTACACATGGAGATCCTACCAGTAACACGTCCTGTATTAGGTTGAGAACCCTTACACATGGAGATCCTACCAGTAACACGTCCTGTATTAGGTTGAGAACCCTTACACATGGAGATCCTACCAGTAACACGTCCTGTATTAGGTTGAGAACCCTTACACATGGAGATCCTACCAGTAACACGTCCTGTATTAGGTTGAGAACCCTTACACATGGAGATCCTACCAGTAACACGTCCTGTATTAGGTTGAGAACCCTTACACATGGAGATCCTACCAGTAACACGTCCTGTATTAGGTTGAGAACCCTTACACATGGAGATCCTACCAGTAACACGTCCTGTATTAGGTTGAGAACCCTTACACATGGAGATCCTACCAGTAACACGTCCTGTATTAGGTTGAGAACCCTTACACATGGAGATCCTACCAGTAACACGTCCTGTATTAGGTTGAGAACCCTTACACATGGAGATCCTACCAGTAACACGTCCTGTATTAGGTTGAGAACCCTTACACATGGAGATCCTACCAGTAACACGTCCTGTATTAGGTTGAGAACCCTTACACATGGAGATCCTACCAGTAACACGTCCTGTATTAGGTTGAGAACCCTTACACATGGAGATCCTACCAGTAACACGTCCTGTATTAGGTTGAGAACCCTTACACATGGAGATCCTACCAGTAACACGTCCTGTATTAGGTTGAGAACCCTTACACATGGAGATCCTACCAGTAACACGTCCTGTATTAGGTTGAGAACCCTTACACATGGAGATCCTACCAGTAACACGTCCTGTATTAGGTTGAGAACCCTTACACATGGAGATCCTACCAGTAACACGTCCTGTATTAGGTTGAGAACCCTTACACATGGAGATCCTACCAGTAACACGTCCTGTATTAGGTTGAGAACCCTTACACATGGAGATCCTACCAGTAACACGTCCTGTATTAGGTTGAGAACCCTTACACATGGAGATCCGGCCAATAACACTTCCTGTATTAGGTTGAGAACACTTACACATGGAGATCCTACCAGTAACACGTCCTGTATTAGGTTGAGAACACTTACACATGGAGATCCTGCCAGTAACACTTCCTGTATTAGGTTGAGAACACTTACACCTGGAGATCCTGCCAGTAACACTTCCTGTATTAGGTTGAGAACACTTACACATGGAGATCCTGCCAGTAACACTTCCTGTATTAGGTTGAGAACACTTACCCCTCTATTGTGTGTGAGACACATGCAGATCCTGCCAATAACACTTCCTGTATTAGGTTGAGAACGCTCACACCTGGAGATCTGCCAGTAACACTTTCTGTATTGGAGTGACAACACTCACACACTTAATACACTGTACTCTTGTGTCAGTTGAAGATCAGTGTGTAATCTATTAGGCCAGGTTCACACCTGTGGGATCTGTGACCACGCGGTATCATGCACTGCCGTGCGGTCACAGTGTCGCCCACCACCACCAATCGCGCTGGCGGTGCCATCATTTTCTAATGGCACCCCAGTCGCGCCAAAGTGGATCGTGCGGTTTCTCACCCCGATTCCACCCGTGCAATTAAACACCATCGCGGCTAAAAGAGCCACGCGCCATGTGTCGCAAAAAAGGTACATGTAGTTTTTTTCTGCGATTGCCGTGCAGATGTAACTCAATGGGGCCGCGCGGCAACCGCTGTGTGCAACTGCACAGGATCGTGTGTCCTGGATAGCCCAGGTCTCCACCAGCCCCAAAAGAGAACTATGGCCAAACCTTTTTTGGCTTTAGTCCTCTTTTGGTTCAAAGGAGTATATTTACTAATGTCCTCCTGTTATCCACAGTCAGCATCTAGCCCGCTATATACGGACAGTGCAAAGCCGTGCTGCTGCTGCTGGGAAAGATCCCAATAATAATCTCAGGCTCCGCTCTGCCACCTGATCGACAGCTGGCTCTGCCTCTCTAGAGCCAAAGCCAGTTGTGCCCGCTCCTTCCCCTGTCTGTCCCTCCAATGAGTGCTGGAGGACATGTTCTCTGGAGTGACAAATCACGATTCTCTGTCTGGCAATCCTTACAGTAGTAGAGGTCGCACGGCTTCCACACACCTTACGATAATCGTACGATCGCGGGATTTCCCGCGATTATCATATGATTATCGTAAGGTGTGTGGGCACCTTTAGTTTGGGGATGGCCCCTTCCTGTTCCAACATTTCAGTGCAAAAAGCAAGGTCCATAAAGACATGGATGAGCGAGTTTGCGGTGGAGGAACTTGACTGGCCTGCACAGAGTCCTGACCTCAACCCGATAGAACATCTTTGGGATGAATTAGAGCGGAGACTGCGAGCCAGGCCTTCTCGTCCAACATCCGCACCTGACCTCACAAATGGCCCAACATTCCCATAGACACACTCCTAAACCTTGTGGACAGCCTTCCCAGAAGAGTTGAAGCTGTTATAGCTGCAAGGGGTGCGCCAACTCAATATTGAACCCCATGGACCAAGACTGGGATGCCACTAATGTTCATGTGCGTGTAAAGGCAGGTGTCCCAATACTTTTGGTAATATAGTGTACGTGTGGTTAATTACGGAGCCACACACTGTACTTTATTATTGTCATTCTAGGACAGGAAGTGTGTTGGGACTACAGGTCACAAATAGAAGAGTCACCAGCACTCCATGGTGAATTCAGTGTAAATCTATTTACATAGCGTCACATCTCTGGCAACAATAAAAGTGATTGGGTGGGAAAAATCCATTACAGTCATTGACTTCACCCTGAAACTGCTTACCTAGGCTTTATGGAAAGATATTGGGAATGAGCCCCAGATAAAAGTAAATTGAGGGATTATATCTTTAGAACCCTAAGGGGATGGCTATGTTATTTCTTTCTACAAATATAAAGAGAGCATCAGGTCTTCTGGAAGGGTGTGAGGGAAAATTGCTGCCCAGTTACCAGTCACTGGGTACCAGTCACATGCTTCAAGGGATCCAATAAGCATGAGATGATCTCCCATTCCTGCTTATATTTGAGTTGGGAAACGTTTGTGTCTGTGACTTCGTGTCCACGCAGCTGATCATCTTGAGGGAAAAATAATTTGCAATATAATAAACTGTATTGTTTTCTCAAGTAAGATCGGTGCCTACTCAGTGCAAACATGCTGATTCTGTCAAAACAATGTCATTCATGTTCATGTAAAGATGTGTCAACAGTCTTTGCATGTCTACAGCTGGCCAGAGGGAGGATGAAAGAAAGAAAACATCTGACTCATTTCTATGAGAAAGAACAGACCATTCTTTCCTCAGACACTTTCATACATGAGGATAATTATGAAGTGTAGTGTCTAATACAGCCCTAATCTCATCCAAGGTTCTGTGGAACCCAATGGGTCCTCCAGAGGTTGCTTGGGGTTCCCTGAGCAACAAGCAATGTCTAAATCTCAGATAAGTTCTCATTGTTTCCTTTGACCATTTATAAAAGGGTGTCCTTCTCCCACTGATCACCAGTCGAAGGGGGCCCTTCTCCATTGACCATGGACATGGTCACTCACCACCAACATAAATAGGCACTACATCGACCATCAAATGTAAAGAGGCACTTTTCCACGGACCACCAATGTAAGGGGGCACTTTTCCACGGACCACCAATGTAAGGGGGCACTTTTCCACGGACCACCAATGTAAGGGGGCACTTTTCCACGGACCACCAATGATGTAAGGGGGCTCTTTTCCACGGACCATCAATGTAAGGGGGCACTTTTCCACGGACCACCAATGTAAGGGGGCTCTTTTCCACGGACCACCAATGTAAGGGGGCGCTTTTCTACTGACTAGCAATGAGACCAACCAATTCGATGTTCATAGTCTTTCCTGGCCATTTTGTTGTACAGAGCAGATTTGTGTGTCACGTTCGCTAAGCATACCATATTTCTTATTCTTCTATGTTTATGTCCACAGCCTAATGTTGACTCTAATGTCCCGTGACCTTCAGCTATAATAAATATTAGCAGAGGGTTCCCTAACATGGACTGTACATGGTTATGTATGAGCCAAATAGAGCTTTATTACTAATAAAACCAAGAGAGTGAATGTAAAAGTTGAAAGGGGAAGTCAGCAGAGTCCCACTGCTTTGTTCTCTGCATAGGCTATGTACGGAACAGTGATGATGTCAGTGCTACTTATATAAGGTAATATCTGAGTTTACGAAGGCATCTGCCGCACACAAAGTGTATTTATATTCTCTATGGGTATCAAAGAATGGATTTAAATACGTTTTGGGCCTGGAGTTGAGCTTTTTTTTTAACAAAAAACAGCTTGTCACAGCTACATCAAGTATGCAGATCTTTGTGTAGAAGGAAGTGGATAATCCAGCATTTGTATTGTAGCACTAACAGCAATACCAGCTTTCACATTCATGTGTACCTCTTTATTGCTCACGTAGGTGGACTAGTATGTAAAAAAAGAAATAGAAGCTATACCAAGCCAGGCCATTGCTGTAAGCAGACTTTATGAAGGTGCAAAGATCAATGTTAACACCTTTTCTATACAACTGCAGAGGTTTTGTTGCACTAGATTATCTTATGCTCTATGCCAATGGTGGAATTGTATTGTAATTCGGTTTTCTTTTTTCTTCTGCAGAGTTTTTGATGGAAGAGAAGAAATTGGAAAGCGCTGTTTGCATATCTGCCTTCCCTATGACAGTGTAACTGAAAGAGTGATGTAAATGACAAGGAATATTAACATTCACACTTCTATATGACAAATCAAGAATCCAAGCTCCCTGGAAAATCCTCTCCCCGCCTTTGTACATGTGCAGGTCACTCCGTTACTGTGTTAGTCACTGCCTCCATGCAGCAATGACACGACTAGAAGAGGCAAACCAAGAGGTCAACATGCACTCCTCAGTCAGATATTTGGGCTACTTAGCCAGGATCACTTTACTAGTGGCCATATGTATGGGCCTTTATGTGAGGTGGGAACAGACAGCTCAGACATTAATATTGGTGATCTTTATCTTGGGCCTTTTCATCTTTGGCATAGCAAGCATCCTCTACTACTATTTTTCTATGGAAGCTGCCAGTGTAAGCATTTCCAATCTTTGGTTTGGCTTTCTTCTTGGTCTGCTCTGCTTTATTGATAACTCCCAGTTTAAATATGATGTAAAAGAAGAAGCCACAAAATACTTGCTGCTCTCCTCCATCATCATCCGAGCAATGTGTGCACTTGTGGAGAGGATTTGTGGCTGTGTCCGTTACCGGCCCACCCTTCTAACAGCAGCAGAGTTTTTGGAACTGACTGGTTTTGCCGTCGCCAGCACCATCATGCTTGTCCAAAAGTCGCTGTGCATCATCTTGCTTATCACGGCGCTTGCACTGATAATTATTGACCTGAGAATGAAATCGTTCCTGGCAATCCCAAACCTGGTTATATTTGCAGTCCTGACACCAGTGCTGTTTTTCCCATCACTAAATATTCCCATCAATCCATTTGCATTGTCCTGCTTTTTCTGCTGCATCATTAGTGAGCCTTTGCTTGACGTGTACTTTAGCGGTCTTTCGGTAACCGAGCGATGGAAGCCATATCTGTATCGAAGTAGAATTCTCCGAAGGTTTTCCGTCATGTCTATTGGATTGATTGAAGTCATATTTTTTGTTCTTGCCGCTTTTAAATTGCAAGACCTGCATCTGTGGTATTTTGTTATCCCTGGCTTTTCCATCTTTGGTATCTTTTGGCTCATCTGCCATATAATCTTTTTAATTACTCTATGGGGTTTCCACACTAAGTTAAATGACTGCCATAACGTATACTACAGCCATAGAACCGATAACAGCCTTGATAGGGTTATGGCCTCAAAAGGAATGCGTCACTTTTGCCTTATTTCGGAGCGTTTGGTGTTCTTCAGTCTCCTGGCAACAGCAGTTCTTGGCGCTGTATCTTGGCAGGTAAGGAAAAAGAAACAATATACTAACATTTGTATATACATGCACAAGAAACAATATACCAATTGTACATTTTCTATTAGCGTGTTGCTAAATCTAGCCATTCAGGGTTAGATTTCTCTTCCCCTATCCACGGTAATCAGCGTGGATGGAAGAATTTACACGTGCTGGCTATTGTGTTCAGACAGCTGGCACTGTCATCTGTCTGAATACCCGAACAGTAACTGCATCTGATTGGATGGAGTCAGTGTTCAGTTGACAGCTTTTTACCAGCCTCCTTCAATAGAAGTTTGTTGAGCCGAGTAATACTGACAGCTGAAATCTTTGATGAATTCAGCTGATATTGGCTGAACTTTCAGTTGTGTATGACTAGCCGTTGACATCATGATCTATTCAGCAGTAATTGTTTTCACGAGCGATGTATAGAGGATGCACCTTGAGACATGGAATGGTGTCAGTCAGTGTAAGTAGGAGATGGAAAAGATTTATCAGTTTTGCTGTAAATGTGTGCAAAACAAGGGCAGGGATACTTTTTATGACACCATCATATACCATAATAACGCAGCTCAATTTACAAATTGTCCCCTCTACTGCTCAAAATTCGTAGTTCTCTATCAAAGGGCGTGCACATGACCACTTCATAGGTATGCATTATTTTAGTGCCCATATCCGGTGAGGGGGGAATACCCTTACAGTGGGGCTACTTTTGTACTGCTAGGTTGTCTCCTCATTTATGTCTAGGGGACCTTTGCAAAGCTTTGATCTACTTACCTGATACCTGCTCCGCAGGCAATCGGCACTTACCTCTCTCCCCACCGCTCTGGCTGTGGACTGTCCCTTGGCTTCTTCATTTACAATGTTGACCTAAGCAGGCCCCTCACTCCTGGGGCAAAGATGGGAAGAAGATGCTGTGGGTGCCATTGTTGCATCCTATAGGATTTGGGATCAGGCTAGTAACAAAGTCCTTTACACAAAACCCTCGACAAGGGATGGGCAACTCCGGCCCTCTAGCTGTTGTGAAACTACAAGTCCCAAGAGGCATTGCAAGACTGACAGTTATAGGCAGGACTCGCAGAGGCATGGTTATCAGGGGAGGGCCAGTTGTTGCCCACCCCTGATATGGACAAACATGAGCAGTTCACTCTTGCAGCGCAGGAATGGTCCAAGTAGATACAATTAGGGGGAATTTATCAAAGCACTTGTGAGTGTTTGAACTTGCACGTAAAATATTTGCACCAGATTTATCAAGCTAGTGTAATGTTGTTGATAAATGAGGTTTAACAAGTGCAGATGAAAACACATGCAAAAAACATGGGGGGAATTTATCAAAGCAGTTGCGAGTGTTTGAACTTGCACGGAATATATTTGCACCAGGTTTATCAAGCTACTGTAATGTTGTTGATAAATGAGGTTTAAAAGACTCCAAGAAAGAAGACTTCTAACTCCAGGCAAAAATCTTAATTGTCGCATCTTGAAGAAGTGGTCATGGGGACTTCTTAAGTTGTGAGTGTTTTCTTAGGTGATGCTCCAGTTTCAGACAGCACAGAACAAGTGCAGATGAAAACAGGTGCAAAAAACAAGCAACTGAAAAAGTAGTGCAGGCTCTGAAGAAAAAAGGTGCAAAAAACATGCAGTTGAAAAAATTGAAAAAGTAGTGCAGGCTCTGAAGAAAACAGGGGCACATGTTGAAAGACAGATTTGCACATAAAATGCCAAATATATAAATATGTGAAAGCTTTTAAACAGACTGTACCCTGGTGGTGGTCTGTATAAGGGCCCACTAACACTTTTAATTGCAAACAAGTATGTGGGATTTCTATTGGATTTGTGCATTGGTGATTTTGATGTTTCATTATGTCCATGAAAACCCCATCAGAACCCATTAAAGTGAATGTAAATACACCCCTAAAAAGAAGTGAAAATGCCATTGACACCTCCCTACTGTGTGCTTAAATTGTTGTAAACAATATGTAATATAAAACTGCAGTTGGAATTTGTTTGGAGCAGTTATGTTGTATGGCAAGCCTGCAATGCAGAGCTATATTGTCCTTTTCCTGTATATGTTCAGGAAAAACGTTTGCGTTCACATTTAGGTTTACACATGCAGTCGATGAGTTCAGAGGTACCTTTACCATGTATTAAATCTTCTGCATACAGCTTTATCTCTAGAAGTGAGATTGTAGTGTCGGCACACAGGAGCTGCAGAATTCAGAATGAACAAAATCCTCACATATCTAAAATATGAATGATTTGTTGTGTGCACTGAGATATGTGGATCACCGTTCTACTCCAAATACCAGGCTGCCCTCTGTCAGGGATGTGCAGAGCTCCCTCATTGACTGTGTTGTAGAGTTTTGAATAGTTGGTGCATGATTATGAATGAATTATGGCCATTTTGAATAATGCATTAATATATACAAAACAAACGCTCTGTCTCTCTGCTTGAGCCTTTGTAGAAGTGTGAGCAGGTTGAAGGGATGTCATACGGAGCAGTTTATTAAACATGCTACCTGGGGTATTTCCTTCTAGATGTCCTTTCCACTGCACTCGCATTCTATACCATTTTCAACCTGTGTAGACTCTTCCAGTATGAGGGGTATGGTGAGGTTCCTTCTTATAATCAGTATAAACATTCAATGAGTTCTTTCATCACTGCAACATGTTAAAATTAGATGAGGATGCCTGCCATTTGTTGATGCAATCTGTTACTGTTTGCATTGTTTATTTTGTAGCCATCCAATGGGATCTTTATGAGCGCGTTTCTGATTGTCTTACCTCTTGAGTCCATGGCGCACGGTCTATTCCATGAACTTGGGAGCTGTTTGGGAGGGACTTGTGTTGGCTATGCTGTTGTAATCCCCACAAATTTTTGCAGGTAAGTTGTTTCTATGTCATTGCTCACATTGTGTACCCATAAAGAGTATGTTGGTAGTGAAACAGAGGAGATGTGATATTTTGTTGTGTATAATTAGGGATATCCCAATACTAGTATCGATGCCAATATGGAGTATTTGGGGAAGTACTCATACCCGCCCAAATGCTCTGATACTTCCGATACCGGAACTTCCGGTCAGAGGGAGATCTCTCATTGATCGGGAGCATGGAGCCGGCTTCCTTTCCAATCAGGAAGCCGGGCGGTGGGTTATGACCCGCCTCCCGGCTTCCTGGTTGGCTAGGAAGCCGGCTTCACAAGTTGCTTAGCAGCCTGGCTTCCTAACCAATCAGGAAGCTGGGCGACACGTAAAGAACCCCCTCCCAGCTTCCCGATTGGTCAGGAAGCCAGGCTGCCTAGGAACAAGTGAAACCGGCTTCCTAGCCAATCAGGAAGCCAGACAGCCCCTCATGACTCGCTGCCCGGCTTCCTGATAGGCAAGAAAGCCAGGCAGCCTCTGAAGCCAATGTTCTTTCGCTAGAACACCGGCTTCACAAGCAATCAGAAAGCCAGGCGATGGGTCATGATCCGCCGCCCAACTTCCTGGCACAATGCACCTGTACTTAGTATCGGAGAGTACCGAAAACAAAATATCGGTACTCGATACCGAAAAACCTATTTATAATGTAACAAAGCTCCACTATACCTTTTGTACAGTTGTTCAGTATTGAATTCCCCCTGGTGCTGCCCACTAGGTGAAATATTTACCTTCAGCCCAGATCCAGTGATCGTCACTGTGCATCCTGTTAGGAGCTGTCCAGCCTTTCTTCTGTTAATGGTTGGTTTGTATTAGGCACGCACATAGTGGCACCATTTACTCCTAATAAGAAAGCCATACATCATATGACCGCTTGAGGCCACCATGAGTACAACTTTCCCATGGAGGTTAATGGGCAGTGATGCTTACTATGAGCCATCCATTTTCTGAAGAAAGGCAGTGAGACTCTGAACAGTGCATAGAGAAGTGTGCTGGCTCCAAGGCTGAGGTTATGTATTTCACCTGGTGAGATGCACTGATGGTGGTGGGGGGAACCTATAGAACAACCGTGCAATGGTATATATGTCCTTTTTAACTTTAGTGTCCATAATTCCCCTGGCTAAAAATCATCTTGTGTGCAGTCAGCACTAGAGCTTTGTGGTTAATATAGTGTATGTTTTGGTATAATGTCCCCCACATAGGGAAAGCCTATTTTCTCATATAATAACGATTTTTTTTTCTCTCCCTATATTAGCCCAAATGGACAACCAATGCTGCTTCCGCCAGAACACGTACAGGAACTAAACCTGCGTTCCACAGGAATGCTAAATGCCATCCAGAGATTCTTTGCTTCCCACATGATAGAAACCTACGGCTGTGACTACTCTACAAGTGGTCTTACGCTTGACACCCTGCAAGGAAAACTCAAGTCTTTTCTGGAACTGAGAACACCTGATGGGCCGAGGCATGATACTTACGTCCTGTACTACAGTGGGCACTCTCACAGTACTGGAGAATGGGCTTTGGCTGGTAGGTGCTGAGCTGGTGATGTGAGTGCAGTAACCGGATAGTCTGGGATATCAGATATTGTGGTTACAGAATGTTATCCTTTCCATATTTCAGCTTGTCAAGCCTCAGTGAGTCTCCTGATAATCTTTGGATTATTTGCATGGAGATTTTCTACTTTTAGATCGCCATTAGACATTGATGGCAAAGCTGGAGGTTATTTTGCTAATATAGCTGTGCATGGTTTATCAGTCAGTAATGTGTGTGTGTGACAGATGGAGCAGACTGCCATTAGCTTCTCTTTTTTTTTTTTTTCATAAATCTGGACACATTTGGACCTCTGCAATGAAATGAATTGGACTAATCATGTTTTAAATTATTAAAGCACTCTTGAAATGTATAAATGCCAAGACGTACAAGATAGATGTTTGGCAGGATAAATATGCATGCAAGTATGTGTACTTTCTGTATATTATTGTTTGTGTCAGACAAATTAGCAAAGAAAAAGAAATCATTCAGCCATTGTGGACAGCACACGCGTGTTCATTTTTAGACACCACTCATATTTGGTTTCTCCATCCCCTTTCTGGTATTTGGGGGTTCCAGGTAGCAGCACATTTGTCTGAATTAAAAATAATTCATAGAATCAAACGTGCATATTTTATACGTGGTCCTGAGACATCCCTGCTGCTGGAAGTCATTATATATATTTTATTCTATTAGCATTTTCAGTCTAGAAAGGCGAAGACCTTTAACCCCAAGTAACCCGTAACAGATTAACTCTTTACCAACCTGATTACGAGGAATTCAAATCTGATTGATTGCCAGACTTGGTTTCATTGTTGCATCAAATAAACCTTATGTAATATTCAATTGAAGATTGTTGTGTCTGTTACCTATCCTAAAGTGACACTAAACTCAGCAGTTAAATCTTAAAAACACATTCCAGTACCTTTTAACTATTAAGAAAAATTTAATTTATTTGTGTATCACTCAGCTGTAAATCCTCAAATCATCTCTGAGTTGCTGCCGACACTGTCCTTCCTTCTGGAGGGTGGCAACTTTTGTTCTCCATGGTCCCTGTGTGTGTTGTAAAGTAGCCACCACTCCAAGCTCGTTCTTTATGATGGACTACAATCTCAATACAAATTAGTAAACTACACATGAGATTGTAGTCCATCACGGGAGCGAGCTTCGAGTGGTGGCTACTTTACAACACACACAGGGACCATGGGGAACAACAGTAGCCACCCTCCAGAAGGAAGGACAGTGTCAGCATGAATTCAGAGATGATTTGAGGATCTACAGCCGAGTGATACACAAATAAGATACATTTTTGTTAATGGTTAAGGTACTTGAATGTATTTTTGAGATTGAACGGCTGAGTTTTGTGTTGCTTTAACATTCTTTGCAACCCGTTCCTAATTGCTGCAGACAAAACGCTTAGAATCTACAAAGCCTACCGGTACTAATTCTTCAAAAATAACTATAAATCTTTGCATATCTCACTGCATTCCTCCAATACTGTAAATATACCAGGGATGCACTGATACTGGTTCTTCAGTATTTGAGTACCAATATTTTTCCCCCAGTAGTCGCCGATACAGGAAGTCCCATTAAGGAACCTGGGGAGCAAGTAATGACTTGACGCCCGGCTTCCTGATTAGTCGGAAAGCTGGCTCCATGCTCCCTCGTCACCAGGTGATGAGAAATCATGGAGACGGTTTTCTGGCCAATCAGGAAGCCAGGGGGTGGGTAATGATTCGCCGCCCGGCTTCCTGTTTGGTCAGGAAGCTGGCCAAATAGGAAGCCGGGCGGCGAGTCGTTAAGCTGACACCAGGTGACGATGGAGCTAGTTGCCGGGCGGCATGTAATGACTCGCCACCCGACTTCCTGATACCGGAAGTTCCGGTATTGGGATAAGCATCGCGAGCCATTGGGGGCATATGAGTACTCGCCCAAAAATATACAATAGGTATTTTATAACTACTTGTTTTTATAATTTTATCAAATTGTGTTCAGGTGACGGTGAACTGCCAATGTTCCATCTCTGTGAGTTGCTGAATGTTTTGGTTAAGACAAACTACAGCGATAATATTTTTCCCATCCGAGTTGTCAGTGTAGAAAATGATGTAATGTAAATGAAGTAGATTGTACTGAGCATCAACCATTTCTTTCTTCTTCTGTTACACAGGTGGTGAGACGTTGCGATTAGAGACAATCGTTGAGTGGTGGAGGGAAAAGAATAGTACATGTTGCTCCCGACTTATCATTGTGTTGGATACAGAGAGCTCAACTCCTTGGGTTAAGGAAGTTCGAAAAGTTAATGATCAGTACATTGCCATTCAAGGAGCAGAGATGGCAAGAATTGTAGATATTGAAGAAGCTGACCCTCCTGAGATTGGCGATTTCACTACAGAGTGGGTGGAGTACAACTGTAACCCTGACCACAATATAAGCTGGTCTGACAGAGGACGCGCTGTGAAGGCCGTCTATGGGGTGTCAAAGCACTGGAGTGACTACACCTTGCACCTACCAACAGGAAGCGATGTGACAAAGCACTGGATGATTTATTTCCCTCGCATCACCTACCCCCTGGTCCACCTTGCTAACTGGTGTGGAGCCCTTAATATTTTCTGGCCTTGTAAAGTTTGCTACAAGTGTCTGAAAAGGTTGAAAATGAATTGGTTTCTTCCAGCTGTGCTGGACACAGGGCAAGGCTTTAAACTGGTTAAATCTTAAGTACTGTTCTGAAAAGGCACATTTTATTCTATTATATATGTATGTATTTATCTGTAGCAATGTAAATACACAGATAGATATGTACAGACCTTGAAATTACCTTTTCACGTCCTGATTAAAAAGAAAACCTGCTGTTTCAGCAGTGCACTGCTTTGTTACATTTGTCTGTACAGCTACGTACACCGGTTGTCCATTTGTATCAATTTGTAAGTCCCATTTCCTTACGGAGTCTTCTGGATGCTTGTGATGGTGCATACACCACCTCACATTATGTAAACTGGATGTTTAAATTTGGGTTTTTCTAATCTGAAATGAAGGTATGGAAAACTCAGTTTATGCAGTATGAAGTGCATTTCTGCAGAAAGCAAAACATATTAGGTCATATGTACTATATTGAGGTAAACGTGAACCAACCAACTGACTTCTTGTGGTGTAATTTAGTAACATTCGTAGCATGTTTCCCTTGTTAACAAATCTATTGTACATAATATATTTGTCTGAAAAGATGCACACCATTATATACCTTATCACCTGACAGTGTCAAATCTATTTATGAATTTTTCTTGTAGGGTTTTCCATAGGGACATTGAAATATTTTATCACGGTGTACACTATGTCCATCCTATAAAAAAAGGAAGCTGAGCATAGGCATTTCTGTCCACTTTGTAAAATGTGAAGTTCATACACGAGATTGGTTAACATCAAAACCAAAAGAGCTCAGGAACACATCATGTACTGAGTTACTTCAGCACTGTATACATTTGAACCATTTATACCCAGTTTCCTCCAAGGCTGATCAAACAGCAGAGTTCCTTTTGCCTTACAGATGTCTCTCTCTCTTGGTTAAAGGATTTTGAGTGAGCATTGCCCATTGCAAAAGTATCAATAAAACTAAGTGAAGCGATAGCATATTTTGGTCATGTAGAGTTTGGGTTTCTTTACTACAGAATGTTCTTATTATTCAAAGCTGGAGCCCCAATAGCACAATGATTACCTGCTGGGCTCTTCAGTAGTATGAGTAAAGGTTCAGAACAGAAAAAGCAGCATTGCCTATCCCCAGCTCCATAATGTCATTATGTAGATTGTGTTACGTCAGCCTTCACTATTCAGAGTGGTGCTTCCTAGGCTTGCATTTTCATCCCACACACCGGCATATGCCGACAAGTACCACATTATCGATCATCATTAATGGTACACGTGCACTGGGGGTTTTGCTCTTTATTCTAGCCACGGAACCTAGACACAGCCAGCCAGCAAACATCTTCAGAAGGCCAGCAATAGCAGCCCCCAGTCTTGTCTTATGACATGTACACTTTAAGGAAAGGCTGTCAGCAGCTTCAGTGGAAAATCATGCTAGACCATCGAATCCGGTTTTTCTGCTTTGGGGGAAGGTCATATAGTACATGATACGAAGACATACCTGTAGGTGACTGACCTTTTTATTAAGGTGTTTTGTCAAGTTAAAAAAACGTCAGTGTATTTGTAACATTTCCCAAGTATTGTGTTAGCCAACAGTAACATGTTCCTCTGTTCAGTGATTGCACCAATGGCTTGTATATGACATTTTTGTTTCAAAAAAGTAGAAAGTATTTCAAGAATTTTCAAAAACAAATTTGCACTTTTATATGTTTCTCCACCAACTACACCAATGTTATTTCATTTACATAGAGAAAGTGTTTGGAACGTTTTTAGTTTTGTATGACTTTATGTTAACAACTGGTTTTGCCAAAAATATTCGATGTAGTTGTGTCAGCGTGTTATAAGTTAATTTGCACTCATGACAAGAAAAATGACTGTCATCCCCTCTTGTGCAGATACCAACTAGGAATGTGAACCTTAGGAGCACCAGTAAAACCTCAGGGATTTCAGGAAATATGCAAATGTTCATTTTATTCACAACTTACAAATGTTTGTATGAAATCTATGCAATATGTTAATATTCTGTAAATACAACAATGTTATTGTTCTTCTCTACCAATACGTATCCTGAATGCCTCCTTCTCTCCAATGTCCATAACACATTGGTGGGTGCTTGTTACTGAAATATATGCATTTGTTTGTTTGTTTTTTACATATAACGCTTTTATGTCGGCTATTGTTTGCTTTACAATATTCTGATTTATTTGATATAGGAAAGAAAATTATTTGTGTAAATGTAAATAAAAATATTTTATGATTTTTTTTTTCTTTTCATTAATGTTCTATTTGCCTTTTTTTAAATTTGATTTAAATACCACTTTCATTCTTGACACATTTGGGGTTATTTCATAAGAAAGGGCAAAGAGCATGTAGACCAATCAGATTTCAGAGATTAAAGCAGTATGAATAAAATAGAAATATGACTGCCTGTTGGAATTTGGGTTACTGTGCTCTACACTCTGCTGTTTGGCTTACTGAGCAAAAAAAAAAGGGCACATTCTACCGTGACCACCAATGTTACAGCCGTATAATAATATTATACGCTTCTAACATTGGTGGTTGGGGTAGACTGTACCCTTTGCTTTATTAAATACGCTTTCTTGAGGTTAGTGGTACCTGGTCTACAATGCCCCCTTTCAGTATCTCGGGTGGCCACTGTAAGGGAACAACTACATATTCTGGTCAGGCATTCTAACAGAGAGGCTGCTGTGAGACTTTGCTTCCTACTCATGAATTGCTGCTCTGCTGTGTGCTAAAGGAGAGAAGCTTCTCCTATGTGGTCAGCCAACTCCAAGCTAGTTCACACAGCAAGACAATGTGCAGATATAGCTCACACACTTATGTGCGGATATGTATAAACTATGACTGAGCAATTTTTTTCACACTCCTTTATCTGACAATGGCCATTCAGGCACCTCTCTGTCATTGAGTCTGAGCACAGCTGCCTACGCTACTATAGCTGAAGTTATGCCTTGCACCCTCCAAGTTGCAAAATCTGACACATGCATGCCTGCCTAATTAACTCTAATTTTTCATATGTAGGATATATATACCATGCAAGGATAACAAGCTGATGTAAAATAGTTAAAGGAACATAACTTCCATGGACATGTGAAGGACATTGTGGAACAAATATGTTTCTCCTGGAATGATGGAAGAGTGATTACAATATAACATGAGATTGTTCACAAAATCTATTGCATTAAGCAAATGTGTTTTTCTGCTGCCTTTTGTTTTTGTGCTTCATAATTGATTGGAAGCTTGTCTCCCTTCCATGGCCTGAGAAAGGGAAAGAAAAAGAAGCATTACAAGGTGTATGTCCAATTTTAAGGACATAATAAATACATATAAAGTAATATAACTTGAAATAGACAAGGACTCAAAAGTGAAGGCACATTGAACAATTTTGTAGGAATTGTATATAACTGACTTGAAGAAGTGTAGGTTTGTGAGGTTTTTTTGTAATTAATTGAAATCACTTTTCAGAGACCTGTTTTCACATTGACATTAAAAAGTTCTGTTAATCAGCTTCAAAAATACAAAATTAAACCCAATGCAATTCAATGTTGTATAACAATAAAACATGAACAGCAAAAACTTTTCTTTTGTGATGGAATTTAACATTAATGACAAAGTAAAAAAGCTGATCTGTTTCTGTACTAAAATAAATTCTTTATCTCCATCACCCAATCAAATGACCAACACAGAGAGACTGGTTGCACAGTGTCTACCAGTGTGGAGGATCTTGACTTGGGAATGACTTGAGTGAGCCCAACCCCTGAAAAACAACCCCACACCATAATCCCCCCTCCACCAAACTTTACACTTGGCACAATGCAGTCAGGCAAGTATCGTTCTCTTGGCAACCGCCAAACCCAGACACGTCCATCGGATTGCCAGACAGAGAAGCGCGATTCATCACTACAGAGAACACGTCTCTACTTCTCTAGAGTCCATTGGCGGCATGCTTTACACCACTGCATCCGATGCTTTGCATTGCACTTGGTGATGTAAGGCCTGGATGCAGCTGCTCGGCCATGGAAACCCATTACATGAAGCTCTCTGCGCACTGTTGTTGTGCCAATCTGAAGGCCACACAAAGTTTGGAGGTCGGTAGCTATTGACTCTGCAGACAGTTGGTGACTTCTGAGCACTGTGCGCTTCAGCATGTGCTGACCCCACTCTGTCATTTTACGTGGCCTACCACTCCGTGGCTGAGTTGCTGTTGTTCCCAGTTGCTTCCACTTTGTTATAATACCACTAACAGGTGACCGTGGAATATTTAGTAGCAAGGAAATGGATGGACTTATTGCACAGGTGGCAACCTATCACGGTACCACACTTGATATCACTGAGCTCCTGAGAGCGACCCATTCCTTCACAAATGTTTGTAGAAGCAGTCTGCATGCCTAGATGCTTGATTTTATACACCTGTGGCCAAGGAGGTGATTGGAACACCTGAATCCAATGATTTGGAGGGGCGTACTTTTGGCAATGTAGTGTGTGTGTGTGTTTTAGTGTTAAGGTGCCCATACACCTTACAATTATCTGCAGATTTTCTGTGGTCAGATGGAAAAAGTGCAACAGATTGGCCCAGTGGAGATTACTCCATCCACACAGTTAAGTGTAGATGGAGGAATCTGTTGCACCTTTTCCATCTGACCACAGAAAATCTGCAGATAATTGTAAGGTGTATGGCCAGCTTTAGTGTTAGCTATGTTTATATATCTATATTGATAATGAAGGCAGACCTGTATGCATCTGCAATGTTGTTCACTGCTTTGTGACATAATAAGACACTGATCTAGGCTATTATAAATTTTGATATGTAGAAAAATGTAAGTGATGATCATTGGCACAACCTCCAATTTAAATTATAAAATAATGCAGGTAGTGTAATAAAATATTTAAGAGGGTAAATGCAGCTCAGCCAGCCGGTACATTGCATAATTAGAAAATATTATGCACCCTTACTAATTATTACATTGTAAATATGTAAACAAGGCTAATAAAAAAATGTTATGCTCTTTAAATTGACAGTGAGTCGCATGACAATAGAGGAAGAGCCTTTATGCAGCTGGCCTATAATAAACCCTGAGCTCTCAAAAAGCCATTCATATTCATTGCCATCATATTATTGCCTGTAATGCCAGGAAATTCATCTTGCAGTTATTGAGACTTAAAAGTCAATCTAAAATGACCCTAAATTATATTGCAAAATGCCTTAAACCATACAAAAGAAAGCAATCCCAATGAGCACAATTTGCAAAGAAGCATTTTTGCTAGATAGGGTTTAAATTTGTCTGAAAAGGGAAAGGTAATCAGCTGTTGTCTCTTATCAAGGTGGCACAATGTCAGATGAGACTATTAAACA